GACGAAGGGCGAGAGGGAGGGAAGGAGGGAGGGAAGGAGGGAGGGATGAGGAGGAGGAGGAGGAGGAGGAGGAGGAGGACGAGGAGGAGGAGGAGGAGCAGGACCGTAGCCATTTTGGCTCAAGATTGAGGTCTGTTGGGTTTAAGCTTTCCCCACGAGACCTAGTGGCCTGAGGTTCGCGACCTCACCGCAATCATTCCTCCCTCAAACCAGCTTTCTCTGTTCCCTCGGCGCGCGCGATGGTGGGCTGGGGCTGCAGAGCGTGTAATGTGTGGAACCGTGGCAACAAAGCCAAGTGCTTTAGCTGCGGAGCCTATCGACCCGATGGAAGAGGACCGACCTACGCCGACCCGCCGCCGCCGCAGGGGGAGTGGTCGCTCGTTGGAGGTCGTCGTCGCAAACCCCACTTCGACTCCGCGTCCCCGCCGTGGGCCAACCGAGAGTTCCTCGCTCGTGGACCAGGACCAGGTGGTGGAGGTAAGCGGTAAGACAAGCAGGGGCAGAAAGGTGGAGGAAAGGGTGGAGGACAGAGTCCCCCACTCACAGAACAGCAGATGGAGTTCTGGGTGGATATGCCCGATGGCAAGTGGCAGATCGGCAGCTCGACCCTCACCCACAGCCAGAGAGACAACGTTGCATACCGTCGTCGGTTGCGAGCAGCGGGAATGCAAGACCCGTCCCAATACAAGGATGTACCCCGGCCAGTTCGAGCGGCCCAGTTCAAAGTTTTCCAGGCAAAGCAGCGAGCACAGACAGCTCGTGAGGCAGCGGCAGTGGCAGCAGCAACAGTTCTCGAGACCGAAGACCTTCTGGCTCAAGCCAAGAACGAGCTCGAGGAAGCCAGGCGCGCCGCCACCCACAAGTTGGGCGCCACAGGACCTCCTGGAGCGCAAGGAGTAGCTTCTGAAGTCTGGGCAGACATCGACAAGCTCGCCACCCTCCTCGGTAAGGTACTTGACGCAGCAGAAGGGGAGCTGCCCGAGGAGGCCAAGCTGGCCCAAGAGGCGCTCACCCAGCTCTCGGGGCTCAAGCCGAAGGTGGAGCCCCCTGGCGGTGGCGGTGGCGCTGCTGCTGCTGGCGCTGGGGCAGCAGGAGCCCATGCGTCGGCAGCAGGAGGTGGATCGAAGCCAGCAGACAGCGACGCCCCCATGGACGAAGCAGGGGAGCCAGGCTCTGCTTAGTCGGCCACGCGCGTCCGAGAGCTCATGGAAAAATGGACCTCCGATGACACTGAACAGTCCCGTCAAGAAGCCATGGTCGCGTTGTTCCAGGAGCTGGCGACCAAGCGCCGAACGACGCATGGGGTAACATCGACGGCTTCGAGTACCGCGGCCAGCCTCACTCACACAGGGGGCAGAGGGCACATCTGGCTGCTACACTCACTCCGCCAGGAGAAGGGAGCACGTTCGAGCACCACGACCAGGCTCACTCCCTTCCGAGGGGGCAGGCGACACATCTGGTTGCTACACTCACTCCGTCAGGAACAGAGAGCACGTTCGAGTACCTCGGCCAGGCTCGCTCCCTTTCGTGGGGGCAGAGGGCACATCTGGATGCTGCGCTCACTCCTTTGGCAGCAGAGAGCACGTTCGAGTACCGCGGCCAGGCTCACTCTCCCATGGAGAGCAGAGGGCACAACTGGTTGCTACACTCACTCCCACGGGAGCAGAGAGCACGTTCGAGTGCTGCAGACCATCGACCAGAGCGACAGCGAGATAAGAACACGCAGAGCCTAGGAAAGAAAAAGAACTCACTTTCTATTTCGCCAATGTCACGTCCTGGAACGACAAGAGCATGCCATGCTTGCGCCACCAGAACACAGCCCTGGCCAAAACCTCAGTTGTCGGCAGAGCAGAGCGCCATTTGATGAAGGCACGGCTCAATGCGGTCAAAGAGAAAATTTCGCGATGTGGTTGGGCAACAAAGTCAGTGGGGGCAATTCCGACTTCGGGACGAGGCAGCCGAGGACATGGTGGGGCATGGCTTCAAGTGCGAACCCCCTTGACAAGAAGACGGCTGTAGACCGGTGGACTGCCATGACCCTCAGGATGTATGATATCGGTGACGTCATCTTCGTGGTCATGTACCCGACAACTGGTGTAGGTTTGGCTGGCCCCAAGGAGGGGGTACTCTCAGCAGTTGCAGCTTATCTCAAAGTGCGCGACTTACCATATATAGTGATGGCAGATTGGAGCAGGGAGACGCACGAGGTGGACCAGATGCAGATCGCCACGTGCCTCGACGGCAGCTTGATGGCGCCGCGGGAAGCTCACCCAGGAGGTAACCGTCTGATCGACTACTGCCTCTTCGCGAGCAGCAGTCAGCACATGGTGAAGCTAGAGTGGAACTTGCAGTGACCTTGGGCGTCGCCGCGCGCGGGCATAAAGAGCGCGGCCAAGTGCGCAGGTCAGAAGATCATGAAGCGCATCATGGATCAGCCGATGGAATGCCAACTCGCAGCTGGACCAGATAGGCCGCGGCAGCATCGCATAGCGGCGGCCCAGCACATAGTCGAGAAGGACATGCAGCAGGACACGCTGCAGCAGCGCAAGGTCGGGGGTGTGGATCACGTCTTTATGGAGTTCGCGATGGCGGCCCCCAGCTTGCTCCTTGGTAGACAGGGCGCCCATGCCCCCGATCTGCAGATTTTGCGAGGAGAATACCCAGCCACAAGATTAGCCCCAGTCCAGCAGGCAAAGCCGCATGGGTGGCTAGCGGAAACAACCCTTTAAGCACAGTGGAGCAGCTTAGGAGCTAGACCTCGCAATTTAATAGGATTGAAGATAAAGGGACGGGATGGCGGGGCTAGCCTGGCGGTGGCGGAGGCCACTCAAGCGAAGGGGGGCCTGGGGGGCCAACCTCAAACACTAAGGAGTGGCGCTGACAAAACCTTCCTGGGGACCCAGGGCGATTCGGGCGCGCCCCATGGGGGGCCTCGGCGAGGAGCAGCTGCGTCGGAAGGCCAAGTCGGCCGACGGGCTCATTGCAGCGAGCGAAGGCCACTATATCCGAGCCATCTCCAAAAGTTCCATGGAGTGGGTTCAAGCTTCCCACTAGCGAGGGGCAGGCGCTGTCCATGGACGCGCCAAGAGCGTGGGGGCCTCAGAGAAGACCACTTCTGTCGAGCATGATTCCTCAGGGGCCGCCATTGTAGAGCCCATAGCAGCAATCAAGAAGAAAGCGGGTTTCTGGATGGGTTTCTGGGGACGAGGCGTGGGGCGCCCTCAGGGCCAGGGGCGGCGGCAGGATTTCAAGCGAGCCGCCGAAGCCCACGACCTCACCCTAGACCCCATAACAGTTGAAGAAGCGCAAGCAAGTTTGAAATGTTTCAAACCAGTCATCGGAGGTTGGGGGGGTGAGATCGAAGTGGAACGGAGAGCCCCCCTACCGGGAAATCGATTTCGGTTTCGTGTTCGTGCGTGCCGTGCGCGCGGGAGAGGCGAAGCTGCGTGGGCGGGCGAGAAGAAAGTCTCCTGTGGCTGAGGCGCGGCCGGACCAAATGATTCTCCACCGGGGCGCGGGGCCGCGCGGTGCCCCGCCGGTGTCCCGGTGGTGTCCTCTGTGGCTGAGGCGCGGCCGCACCAAATTATTCTCCACCGGGGCGCGGGGCCGCGCGGTGCCCCGTTGGTGTCCCGGTGGTGTCCCGTCGGTGTCCCGTCGGTGTCGCGATGATGATGTTGATGATGATTATGATGATGATGATGGTGATGATGATGATGGTGATGATGATGATGTTGATGATGGCGATGATGATGATGATGATGATGATGACGACGTCGATTGTGAGATCGATTGTGTTCGGAGGTTGGGGGGTGAGATCGAAGTGGAACGGAGAGCCCCCCTATCTGGAAATCGATGTCGGTTTCGTGTTCGTGCGTGCCGTGCGTGCGGGCGAGACCCCGTGCACCCACCAGCGCAGGCTAGGCTTTGCCAGCCGCTCTCTCCGAGCGCGCCCCGTTCCTTCGGGAGGCCGCGCGGGCTCGCCGCCGCGGCTGGAAGCGAATCGAAAACTGGGGCGTCTGGGCCCGTGGAGTTCGGCCGTCTACATAAAAAGGGATACGCCGACAGGACGCCGGCGCGGGCCCCTGGGAGGGGTTCCGGTTCCGTTTTGAGGCTGGCGCCGAGGTTCGGTCGAGGTTTCCTGGCCCTCGGAGGCCCTGCTCGCCGCCGCGGCTGGAAGCGAATCGAAAAACTGGTGCGTCTCGGCCCCTGGAGGTGGGCCGTCTACATAAAAAGGGATACGCCGACAGGACGCCGGCGCGGGCCCCTGGGAGAGGTCTCGGTCCCGTTTTGAGGTTGGCGCCGAGGTTCGGTCGAGGTTTCCTGGCCCTCGGAGGACCTGCTCGCCGCCGCGGCTGGAAGCGAGTCGAAAAATTGGTGCGACTGAATTGGTGCGTCTGGACCCCTGGAGTCGATCTGTGTACATGCAAAGGGATGCGCCGACAGGACGCCGGCGCGGGCCCCTGGGAGAGGCCTCGGGTCCGTTTTGAGGTTGGCGCCGAGGTTCGGTCGAGGTTTCCTGGCCCTCGGAGGCCCTGCTCGCCGCCGCGGCTGGAAGCGAATCGAAAAACTGGGGCGTCTGGGCCCGTGGAGTTCGGCCGTCTACATAAAAAGGGATACGCCGACAGGGCGCCGGCGCGGGCCCCTGGGAAGGTCTCCGGTTCCGTTTTGAGGTTGGCGCCGAGGTTCGGTCGAGGTTTCCTGGCCCTCGGAGGCCCCGCTCGCCGCCGCAGCTGGAAGCGAATCGAAAAACTTGTGCGTGTCGGCCCCTGGAGTTGGGCCGTCGACATAGAAAAGGATACGCCGACAGGATGCCGGCGTTGTTGGAGTCGGCGTCGGTACGTCCCTGCAGGTTCCCTTGGGAACTCCTGAATCGTTCCCGGGGCCTTGTTGCATCATCATGCCGTGCTGTATGCTGTGCCGGCGTTGACGCCGTCAGACCGCAGCCCATCACGGTTCTGTGTTCGGAGAGTTCCCGCGGACCTTTGGCCGGTCCCGCGGCCATGGCCGCCGCCGCCCGCATGCTCAGACCTGCGCTGCCTGTGTCCCGGGGCCAGGCCTTGCCAGCCCCAGGGACAGAGGCACCCTACGCGGGCTTGCGCAGACTCGCGCAACGATACGAGTACAAGGGCACTTCCTTTTCGGGCATGGTGGAACTCCATCCTCAGCGCCTGCTGACTCGGGAGGAGTTCAAGACGAACTTGCTGGCAGCACCAGGCGTGCTGAAGGTCTCTGTGCTTCCAAAGATGTTTGTGGCCACTCGGCGTTTGGGTTGGCCATTTGGGATTTCGGGGGTCTTCGGGGGCCTCCTTGGGAGGAGCCATCTTGAGCCATCTCCGGTTATCTTGAACCATAGTGGAGGCCATGTGGGGTTCCCCGGAAATGCTTGCGAGGGTGGCCCTCAGGTCGTGGACGCGAGCTCCAAGACCTCGCAGGGCAACCGAGGCGACCACGTCTTCGAGCAGAACCTGGAAGTCCACCTGCACCGCGAGCCCCATGTAGCTATGGAGTTCGAGATCACGCGGAACAGCCACATGAAGCACATGGAGCGGCGCCCTTACACCGAGACAGCGATGTTCAAGGACCCCCCCCCCCCCAAACGGCATCACGCGGCGGCGTGGCGCGTGCTCTTGCGCGCCGTCAAGGGCCGGGAGCTCCTTCCACAGCATGCCCGCGACTACTGCAAGAGCTGCCTGACGAGACACGGTACCTGGGAAGACGACGTGCTCCCAGAGGGCCTGGAGGGGATCCCGCTTGAGCAAGGCTTTGCCAGTCCTGCGGGGTCTTCCAGCTCTCCGACGCAGGCACCAGGCCTTCCAACCGCGCCAGGCCTTGCCAGCTCTCCGACGCAGGCACCGCGTCGCAAGCCAATTTTCCCGTATCCTTTCCAGAACGCTCCCGCGATGCCCGGGGGCCAGGCGACCGCCTCTGCGGCGCGGGTGGAAACCTGCCCCACCGAGTCGGCCTCAATGAGTCAGGGTGGCCGCGGGGTCCCGCCTGAGCCAGGCTTTGGCAGTTCTGCGGGGGTGGATGCTTCAATAAATCAGGGCGGCGCGACCGGGCCTCCTGCCAAGAAGAGTAAAGCGGCGCCCAGGGGTGCCGCGATCGCCCCTGCGGCGCAGGTGAGCGGAGGGGCGCGCCAGGCCTCCTGCCCGGAGGGCCTCAACTACTTGCGAGGCTGGTTTTTTCACGGAGCTGAGAGCGTCGAGCGGGACGGAACGTTGACATCGTGGTCGTGGCCCAGACCTTCTTGATCATGGGACGATGCGCATCTCGGACGTTTGCCTGGGGGCGCGATTTGGACTGCACCGAGTACGAGAGCTAGGTTGCGGAGTTTCAACCGACTTGTTTTGTTTTTTTTTTTTTTTCGTTTTTTTTTTTTTTTTTTTTTTTTTTTTTTTTTTTTTTTTTTTTTTTGTTTTTTTTTTTTTTTTTTTGTTTTTTTTTTTTTTTTTTTTTTTTTTTTCTTTTTTTTTTTTCGTGGAGATCGCGGAGGATGCGCGCGTGCGCATGCGGACCGAGTTGGAGGCGGCAAGGAGGCCAGCGGGCGGGGGGCAAGCGGTGGCAGGCGAAGCCCAGGGGTCGGGGCCAGGCTTTGCCAGCCCGGCGACCCAGGGGCAGAAGAACGAGGACAAGGCGGATGCGGAGAAGACGCCGCCAGGGTTCGACCCCGAAGCCGATTGGACAGAGGATACGGCGGACGTGCACCAGTTCGACATCTCGGCTGACCTGTGCGAGGAGTTGGCCGAGAAGCCCGATGGGGACCCGGCCGCCGCCCGTGAGTCCAGGGAGGTCCGCGCTGCACTCGGCCCCGAAGTTCTTCCCATCCCGGATTTTTTGAAGCTTGTGCAGGGTCAGCCGATGGCCAGCAACGCCGCCCTGGACGATGTTCGTGCTATGAAGAGTCGCGGTGTGGAGCGCGTGCGGCACCGAGTCATCGATGAGCCCGACGATCTCGAGGTGCAGGACAACATCGACAGGATGCGCCGCGAGGCCTGGGAAAAGCACGAGGAGCGTCGGAGGACATGTGCCCGTGGCCTGGACACGCGGGACATGTTCTTGGGCCGCGAACTGGTGTACGTCAAGCTGGTCAGTGCTGGCGCGGTGCCCATGACTCCGAACGAGTTTTTGAATGCGGCGTCTAAGAGGTCTCTCTGCGTCAAGGATCTGTCGCGGCCACCTCCAAACACGCAGGCACGGGAGGGCCGCTTGCGCATGCTCGCGCTGCGGGAGCATTACCAGACGTTGTTCAAGGAGCTCCCGGATAAGGCAGCGCAGAAGTTTTCGCCGAACCAGCTGGGGGGCGACGACGGACCACCGAAAGCGCTGGTGGGTTTGGTCAATCACCACTCTGGCGAGGTGGTGGAGCTGGACGGGTGCAGAACGCAGTGGTGCCTTCGCAAGGTCGCACCAGGCATTGCCAGTGCCGCGCAATGCAAGAATCCACAATTCTGGCGCGTGCAAGGTGGTTACACCGTGGGACGACGCCCGGAGGGGCGGTGCGAGCACGGCCGGCGCGGGTCCGAGCTCTTCGCCAAAGCCGTCGACGCACAGGCCCATCGCGAAGCCGCCGCCGTGAACGAGGGCGAGGACATCAACCCACAGGTCTACATGCCCGCCTGGGCCCGCCAGTGGAGCAGGGCATGCGTTCCGTGCGAGGCGGTCGAGACGCACGAGCGGTGTCGACAGAGCCCCGTCACGACGCTGGGGGGGCTCTCCTGGGACTTGGGCCGGACGCACACGGCCAAGGCCATCTACGCCTTCTACAGGACGCTCCGGCTGGTCGCGTTGAAGAGGGACAAGAACAGTTCCACCAAGGCGAGCAGTGCGCCAGGCTTTGCCAGCGCATCTCGGCCAGCTGGGTCGGCAGCTGCTTTCGGTTTCACAGGGTCCGACCTCCAGGCGCCCCGCATCCGCGCAGATTACTCGTACCCGGCGACCAACCGCGAGGTGCTCGTGGAGGACTACATAGAGGCGGTGGGCTTGTCCACAGCGTACGTCAGCTCCAAGACCAAGCAAGAGTTGCTGGACGAGGCTGTGAAGTGCGCGACGTTGGTGTTGCTTCGGGACATGCGCCCGCCGTGGCTGGATCACGTGTTCCCCCAGGCCTTGCCAGGGGATGGCTTGTTGTCCAAGTTCACCAGACCGTCTTTCCTCTACTGGGACGCCAGCTTCCTCGACATGCTTTTCGGCACCGCTCTGGGAAGCGATCTCAACGACCAAGCGGTCAGCGTCGACAACCAGCTGGCGGGTGCCATCGCGCGCCCCCTGTATAAGTGCACGCAGATCGTCGACGCCAGCACGGGAGCAGCGTGCATGAACGTCGCGTAGATGTCAAGGCTTTTGCGGGGCACCGCGGGTCGGGGCCACTACACGTGCAAGGAGTGTGCTGAGAGGAAACAGGGCGCCGATGAGACGCTGGGCTTTCCCAGTGTTGCCCTTCGCGCCCTGTACTTGTACCCCGCGGTGTTCGGGCCGGATGGCGAGCCCACGCCGCTTCGCGCGATGGCGCCCCATCGCGCGTTCGCGCACGCGCCTCCGGAGAATTGGGGGTGGGGCGTCGAGCGAGTCCAGCGCCGCGTGGTGACCCAGGCGAACCCCACGATATCCACGGCCACGCCGACATGGTACACTTACAACGCGGAGGAGAGCGAGGCCATTTGGATCGCATCCAGTGCGTACAAGGCCACGCCGCCGAGCAAGACGTGAATGGAAGGGGGGCACTGGCTGCGCCAGGCTTTGCCAGCGCTTGCAGGCTCCTGCATCATGAAGGATATAGTTTTTGATTTCGCGTAGGCTGCGCCAGGCTTTGCCGGCGCTTGCCAGGCTGTGCGTAGGCTGCGCGTAGGCTTCGCCAGCGACCCCTGGAGTTGGTCTGTCTACATAAAAAGGAATACGCCGACAGGACGCCGGCGCGGGACTCCGGGAGTGGCCCTGGTTCCGTTTTGAGGTTGGCGCCGGGGTTAGGCGGAGCGGAGGTTTCCTGGACCTCGGAGGCCCTACTCGCCGCCGCGGCTGGAAGCGAATCAGAAAAAACTGGTGCGTCTGGGCCCGTGGAGTTGGGCCGTCTACATAAAAAAAGATACGCCGAGTGGACGCCGGCGCGGGCTCCTGGGAGAGGTCCCCGTCCCGTTTTAAGGTTGGCGCCGAGGTTAGGTCGAGGTTTCCGGGCCTTCGGAGGCCCTGCTCGCCGCCGCGGCTGGAAGCGAATCGAAAAACTGGTGCGTCTCGGCCCCTGGAGGTGGGCCGTCTACATAAAAAGGGATACGCCGACAGGACGCCGGCGCGGGCCCCTGGGAGAGGTCTCGGTCCCGTTTTGACGTGGCGCCGAGGTTAGGTCGAGGTTTCCTGGCCCTCGGAGGACCTGCTCGCCGCCGCGGCTGGAAGCGAGTCGAAAAAATGGTGCGTCTGAATTGGTGCGTCTGGACCCCTGGAGTCGATCTGTGTACATACAAAGGGATACGCCGACAGGACGCCGGCGCGGGCCCCTGGGAGAGGCCTCGGGTCCGTTTTGAGGTTGGCGCCGAGGTTAGGTCGAGGTTTCCTGGCCCTCGGAGGCCCTGCTCGCAGCCGCGGCTGGAAGCGAATCGAAAAACTGGTGCGTCTGGACCCCTGGAGTTGGTCCGTCTACATAAAAAGGAATACGCCGACAGGACGCCGGCGCGGGCCCCTGGGAGGGGCCCCTGTCCCGTTTTGAGGTTGGCGCCGAGGTTAGGCGATGGTTTTCTGGCCCTCGGAGGCCCTGCTCGCCGCCGCGGCTGGAAGCGAATCGAAAAACTGATGCGTCTGGGCCTGGAGTTGGGCCGTCTACATAAAAAGGGATACGCCGACAGGACGCCGGCGCGGGCCCCTGGGAGGGGCCCCGGCCCCGTTTTGAGGTCGGCGCCGAGGTTAGGTCGAGGTTTCCTGGCCCTCGGAGGCCCTGCTCGCCGCCGCGGCTGGAAGCGAATCGAAAAACTGATGCGTCTGGGCCCCTGGAGTTGGTCCGGGACGCCGCCGCCGTCGCTGTCGCAGCAGTTCTCATCGGTTGCATGTGCAGCATTTGCAACCCGACAGAGGGAGGGAGAGGAGCCTCAGCAGGCTTCTGAGAAAAAATCTCCACTGGCATCGCCAGGAGAAAGAACAATCACCACTGTTGCCGATTGCTCGGCCCCTTCCACCACCCCCCAACCTCCTTATCACCCGCAGGGTGGTCGTATAGGTAGGCATGGGAGTTGATATATCCAACCCAAGATGGTGGCTACAACTCCCGCAAGAAGCGTTCGTCCACCTTACTTTCCTGCTTGACTTGGTTGAGCAAACCCTTCGGTGGCCAGACAAGACGTTAGTCAACATTGCGCAGCTGATGTTTAAATCGGATCAAGCAGACAGGCCGATAGCTTTAACTCAAGGTGCGCGCCGAGCATGGGCTCGGGTCAGGCGTCATCAGGTAGCAGGCTGGTCTGCTGGAAAAATACAATTTTGGGACAGAGCCGTCGCAGGCTCCGGCTCTCTCAGGGCAGCCATACTGAGACAAACGAAGCTGGAGATAGGGGGCATCCAACAGTTTCCCCGGGGCGAAGGGCTCTGGGATCTAGAGAAATCCTACGACGCGATAGACCCAGAGCAGCTCTGGCATGTAGGTGCGCAAGTGCAGCATCCTCTCACTCGCCTCTTCCTCGGCCTCAGCCTCCACTTCGGGGTCCGGAGGTGCCGAGCTGGAGGGGCCATGTCGGAGCCACTGGAGGCCTTTTCTGGGATCCTAGCAGGCTGCTCTCAGATTGTCGACATGCCCTGACTCACCCCGCGGCAGATACTAGCAGATTGACACGAGAACTACAGACCAGTAGGCCAGTAGAAGTGCAAAGCTGGGTTGATGACTGTAGCCAGTTTGCTGTAGGCAGGGAGTCCATTGCCATCGAAAAAACGGTGGAAGAGCCTTTGCCAACCACTGCCAGGAATTAAGCCTTAGGATCTCTAGTAAGAGTGTCCTAGTCAGCAATCCACCGAGTGGCAAATGAAATTCACAGCAGGCTTGGCTCTAGTATGCAGTTGAGGAGATCCCAATGTGTAAAAGACCTTGGGATCGACGGCGCTTCCCACAGACGCCCCGTGGCAACGGCCGAGAAGAGGTTGACCGATAGCACCAGTAGAGGTAACATAGTTCGTAGAGTTGTCAAGACCTCCAGAGCTGCGAAATCTTGAGTACACGCCGGGGAATTGAGGCACAATGAGTAGCCCCATCCACGCTGCTACGGATGCGAGCGCAGATCTCGGGCATGGTTGGCCACGATGAAGGAGGATGCGCGACTACGACTATTCGGATGGCCTTCCCAACGGCACACCAGGGTCCGATGGTTTTTGGCAGGCTGCGTCTTTTCAATGAATGGATCGGACTTCTTCCAATGCCTATGTCAACCCACCGCCAGGCTCTTCTCTCAACCTGGAAAACAGCAGTTCGCATCTTTGAAGGGGCCAAAAACCGATGGGCACAAGTCAAGGGGGCCCTGTCGGCCACGGCGGCCGCGCTCCCCGACCACGGGTGGAAACCTCTTTCACCGACCCTGCGGCAGGACCCCGACGGAGTGCAGTTCGATCTGGAAGAAGCTGACTCACATATGCTGTCAGAATATGTGTTGTACGGAGCCCTAGACCAACAGGCTTGGGAGCTAGCAGCGGCACATTTCGCAGGCAAAGGTCTCGAGCACGGCCCTGATCTTACAGTCAACGGGCAACGCATGGCAGCCTGGAAAAAAGAAGCGCAATACGACACAGCTGGTCTGTTCATAATGATTATGGCAGGGGCCCTCTGGCCTGCGAGTCGGCGCTTTGTAGAAGCTACCGGGCCCCCTCCAATCCCTCCAGCAACGGCCGCCGCCGCTGCGCGGGCGTCTGATCAGGCCCCCCTGGAGCCCTAGGCGCACGGTAGAGTCGGCGGTCTGGATGAGGAAGAGGAGGATTCTGATGTTTTGGATTTGGTCAGGCAAGCCCAGGAGGATGACCAGGGCCCTTGGGACTCCCCTCCTGACAGTTTCCCAGAGGAGCTTCAGGAGGCCGCGGGGGTCTGCTCGCCGCGCAGGCCACCCTGGACCACACCGAAGTGCCCTCGGCGTGGAGCTCCGCAAGGGACCCTTCTCCGTCAGATTTGGGAGTGCCCGGGGAACCAAGGCCTGGAGGGCCTGCGCTTGGAGCTCTTGGAGAAGGTCCGTGAAGGCCAAGAAGAGTGGCTTTGTTTTTGGCTCAGGGGCATAGTGCCAGTGCTCTGGGCGCTGCCCCACGCCTCGCGCCCGACCCACAGCGCCAAGATCTCAGGAGGTGCCCTGGCAAGAGATGCCAAGATTCGTTTCACCAGCTCAATGATTGTTGCCACTGATGGTTCAGGTGGCAAGTACCGCGATGACTCCAGGCTCAGAAGATGTGGGTGTGGCTTTGTGGTGGTGGATGGGTGGGACCTGCTTGGGTGCGGGCAAGGGCCTTCGGAGTGCTGGAAGCAGACAGTTCCAACCTCAGAGTTGACAGCTGCCACAGAGGCGGTGAAAGCTACTGAAGGAGATTTAGTTTTGGTGATAGAGGCTCAGTCTGTGGTGGACGGCATAAGAGCTGGCCCACATGGACGGAACAGCACCAACAAGAGATGTTGTGGAAGAGATGTTGGGCCGACCTTGGTGATAGGCCCATCGTGGCCCACAAAATCAAGAGTCACCTTCCGGCTGAAGAGGCCGAAGCGAACCACGTGCCCCCACAGCATTGGTTCGCGAATCGTCTTGCAGATCAGGCAGCGGTGGAGGGCGCCCGTCAGGCCCAGCTTCCGGCCCAGGAGATTGCCGCGATAGCGGCCATCGACTTGAAAGCGACAAAGGTGCACGAGCACATGTTGGCGGTGGCCCCCGCGGTCACTAAGCAGGAACCGTCTCTCTACGGCGCGAGCTCGCGGCGAGACCGCGCGCAAGAGGCCAAGGCTCGGGCTGGGGAGAGGCAGGGGGCGGCTCAGCAGAGGATAGTAGATTCGGCCCACTCGGTGAAGCGAGACACCCGAAGTCGAATGCAGTGTACGGCGTGTTTCGCAAAGCCAGAGCCAGGAGCGATAGAGTCCTGGTTGTCCAGCCCGTGCATCGGGTATCCCGCCAATTTGCATAGGAACCATACCGTGTGGAGCTTCAAAGGAGTCTTTTGGTGGCGGGCCTGTGGTGGGTACGGCACCACTTCTTTCCAAAAGCTCGGTGTGCAGTGTAAGCTAGAGACCCTCACCAAATGCGCCAGGCGTCTCATTCATTCCCTGGAACAGGAGAAGTTGCAAGTGGGCGTCAAGGAATGGCCTCAGCCAGACGACCTGAGACCCCCCAGGCCCACTGTTTCTGTTTAGTGGCCAATGAGTCGCAGCGGTCCCTGTCAGAGGATGTGGCCGCCAACGTAGGTAAGAGGTCAGAGGAGGAGGAGGAGGAGGAGGAGGAGGAGGAGGAGGAGGACGAGGACGAGGAGGACGAGGAGGACGAGGAGGACGAGGAGGACGAGTAAGGGCGTGCCGGCACCTGTTTGCGATTGTTTGCGGTGCCGCGTTTGAGGCCAACGGGGTGTCCTTGGCGAGGCAGAGTTGCCTGCGCACGTACCATGGCCCGAAGGCTCGCAACGAGTCTTAGACGTCAGTCCCCTCCTCTGGGGGGAGGAGGGGGAGGAGGCAGGCGGAGGAGTGAGCGAGTTCCCCCGGGCAAAAGCCCAGGCAGGCCCTGGAGCTATCCGCCCCCCACACTTGATTTCCAAGTCGCTCAGCACCTAAATTTTCAGTGGTCGCGTCTAGGCGACGGCTGTGGGTAGCGGTAAAGGTATGCTTTCGGAACGTTCACCGCCACCCAGTTTTTGCCAGCGTGGACCCGAGCAGCGAGTTATTTCAATCCAGATGCGCAAGCTGTAAGCTGTGTGGTGCAAGCTCCGTGGTGCAAGCGATGCCGTGCAAACTATGTGGTGTACGGTCGGGAACTTTGGTTCGCGTGTCGCTCCGCTGACTCTGGCCCACCACGCTCTGAAGCGACACGCTGCTCGCTTCCGGGTTGCAGGCGTCAGCGGCCCGAGTTCTCCCACGCTTCCCGCCGCGCGGAGCGGAGCGACACGCTGTGTGCTCGCGGGGCATGGCACGTCGCTGGGGCAGCCGCCGCGACACTCGAAGCAGAAGCTCCCGACCGTAGGCCCTGCGGTGCGAGCGCTGCGGCGCAGGCTGTGCGGCGCAGGCTGTGCGGGGGCGGCGACGAGGCGCCCGCGGGGCGGAGGCCTGGCAGCCGTCCACCGCGCGAGGGGGGCGGCCGCGAGGCGCCGGCAGCAGCGGGGCGAAGACTCGGCAGGCAGGTCCAGCTGTGCATCGCTGTGGCGAAGGTCCCCACCATGGGCACACTTGCAGATGTGGGTGTCATAACAGGTCGCTGAAACGCGGTATTTCTGGACGCCCAGATCCCGCTCTATTCGTGGCGCCCTCCTACTTCAAGGATCGACTGGCTTCCTCCTTCTCTCCTCTATAGGGGGCTGGCGGAAGCCCAATCTACTTCCAACGCCTTCCTGCTTCATGTTTCTACCTACTTCTTCCGACCGATGGGTACCGCGTTGTGGGCACCGCTTTCGGTGGAGCCCCATGTGGGGCCACGAAAGGCGAGAGGAGTGTCCTGTAATGGTTGGGGGGGCGGATGCGGCCGCGGCCGCTGGGGTCGTCGGTGGAGCTCCCTGTGTGCCCACGAAACGCTGTAATGGGCGGGGCGGGCGCGTGCGGCCGCGGAGCTCCCGATGGAGCCACGGAACGTTGTTTTCGGGTGGCGCGGCCGCATGCGGCCGTGGCCACTGGAACGTTCGGTGGAGCTCCCTACGGGGCCGCGAAGCGCTGTACTGGTCGGGGGAGTCGCATGCGGCCGCGGCCACTGGAGCGTTCCATGGAGCTCTCCCTGGGGCCACGAAGCGCTGTACTAGGTGGGGGGAGACGCATGCGAACGTCCCCTCTGGGGATGTCGTTGGAGCTCTCCCTGGGGCCACGAATCGTTGTACTGGGTGGCGCGGCCGCATGCGGCCGCGGCCACTTGGGCCTTCGGTGGAGCTCCCTGGGGGACCACGAGGCGCTGTATTGGGTGGCGCGGACGCATGCGGCCGCTGCCATTGGTGTCTTCGGTGGAGCTCTGTATTGGGGGGGGGGGGTGATGAATTTTACTGGGTGTGGGAAGCGCTTGCGGCCGCTGCCATTGGCGCCTTCGGTGGAGCTCCTTTAGGGGGGGAGGCACGAAACATGTCACTGGGTGTGGGAGCTCCCTATGGGGCCACGAAGCGGGTGAAGGGTATGCCGAAACAAAGACACGCGGAGGGCGCACGGATGATAGGGAGCGGAGGGAGGAGGGGGTGAGGAAGGAGTGAGACGCAGGGCGTTGCTTCTTCAACACAAAGACCCATCACAACAGGATGGTTGGGAACAAAAATAGTGGTAAGGTAACCGTAGCCATTTTGGCTCAAGCCAGTCTGGCTCCAGAGGCTCGAGCGTTTTCTCTGGCCTGGGTCGGGCAGCCAGCCCGCGCCACCGCTCGCATGCCAGGCCAGCCGCTGCGCTCCGAGAGGCCAGCATGACCTGCCGCCGCCGCGACCGCCGCGGCGCGGCCGCGGCAACGCTTTGCGCAGCCCTGGGGGCCACGTGGCGCGGGCATCTGGCCCCAGCGGCCTTCGCCGGGCCGGCCGCGGCGCCCACCCCGGTGCGCGGGGCGCCGCTGCGGGATACGGCCGCCAGCCCCGGCCGCGAAGCGCCGGCTCCTGCAGCTGGACACCCCAGTAGCGTGGAGCGCCAGATCGGCGTCAAGCACATATTTTGGGACAAAGGCAGTGCGGCGTGGCGCATTAAGTATCAAATACAGAACGGCCCAGATCGAGGTTGCATCAAACAGACACGGTTCCGCCCGAAGGACGAGTCGCCGGAGCAGGTGGAGCAGGCGCGGCTCGCCGCCGTCGAGGCGCTGCGGCGGCTGGAGGACGAGGACCGGCTCGGGCGGATCCGCTCAGGTCGGCACAGTGCGGAGCGCCAGAGCGGCGTCAAGCACATACATTGGGACAAATGCAGTGCAGTGTGGCGCATTCAGTATACGATACAGAACGGCCCAGATCAAGGTCGCAGAAAGCGGCCCGTGTTCCGACCGAAGGACGATTCGCCGGAGGAGGTGGAGCAGGCGCGGCTCGCCGCCGTCGAGGCGTTGCTGCGGCTGGAGGAGGAGGACCAGCTCGGGCAGGCCCGCGCTGGCAGCTACAGCCCCGCAGAGCGCCAGAGCGGCGTCAAGCACATACGCTGGGACAACCGCAAGACGGCGTGGCGCATTAAGTATACGATGCAGAACGGCCCAGATCAAGGTCGCAGAAAGCAGCCCGTGTTCCACCCGTATGACGAGTCGCCAGAGGAGGTGGAGCGGGCGCGGCTCGCCGCCGTCGAGGCGTTGCGGCGGCTGGAGGAGGAGGACCGGGTCGGTCGGATCAGCTCGGGCCGGCACAGTGCGGTGCGCCAGAGCGGCGTCAAGCACATATTGTGGGACAAAGGCAGTGCAGTGTGGCGCATTCAGTATACGATGCAGAACGGCCCAGATCAAGGTCGCAGAAAGCGGCCCCTGTTCCGACCGAAGGACGATTCGCCGGAGGAGGTGGAGCAGGCGCGGCTCGCCGCCGTCGAGGCGTTGCTGCGGCTGGAGGAGGAGGACCGGGTCGGTCGGATCAGCTCGGGCCAGCACAGTGCAGTGCGCCAGAGCGGCGTCAAGCACATATTGTGGGACAAATGCAGTGCGGCGTGGCGCATTCGGTATACGATGCAGAACGGCCCGGATCAAGGTCGCAGAAAGCAGCCCGCGTTCCGCCCGAGACTGGCGGCTTCGACCGGGAGGGGGGGGAGGTGGAGCAGGCGCGGCTCGCCGCAGTCGAGGCGCTGCGGCGGCTGGAGGACGAGGACCGGCTCGGGCAGGCCCGCGCTGGTCGGCACAGTGCGGAGCGCCAGAGCGCGCTGCGGAGGCTCCAGGAGGAGGACCGCGCGCTCGAGCGCAGCGGCTCGGGCCGACGGAGCGCGGGGCGCCAGGAGGAGGAGGAGGAGGAGGAGGAGGACCTGTGAAGGTGGGGCTCTCTGGCCTCCAGCCTGGCCCTGATCACCGATCGGGGCTCTGACCTCCTGCCCCCCGCTGGCCGCCGATCTCCAGTCTGCCTCTGGGCCTGCCGCGTCCCATGAGACCCGACGTCGCGAACAAAAAAAAGTGACGTGCTGAAAGATCACGCCTGGAGCCCTCGACCCCATCTTCGGCGGCGAGCGAGGGGGGGAAGTGAGGAGGAGGAGACCTTCTCAGAAGGCGGCGGGACTTCTCAGACGGCCTCGGGCCTTCTGTGAGGGGTGCTCTGCGTCTCCGGGGAAGGCTCAGGAGGCTTCTCAGAATGCCCGGGGACTTCCGAGCCTTCTGAGAAGGCCCGCCCCCCTCTCACTTCCCCCCTGGGCTGGCCGCCGACATCGTTCTGCGGCCTCTCTCGAGCCCGATCGATCGGTGAGGGTCCCAGGGCCCGCTGCCCGGTGTGAGCCAACCCGCGACGCCCGGCTCGTAGGGTCTTCCGGTCTGCAGCCCGGTCGTGCCCGCGCGATCGCCGACCGCAGCTGGCCGCCCCTGGCGCGGGCGCCTGCTGAGGCCGAGGCGCGCGGTGGCGGCGAGGCTTGGCAGAGGCGGGCGCCGGGCAGCGCCCGCCTTCGAGGGAGGAGGCACGGCCGAGTCGGCGCTTACCGCAAGAGTGACCTGTTGCCGGAGGGACCTTTGGTGCGGGCCTCCCCCTCCTCCTCCCTCCTCCTCCTCCTCCTCCTCCTCCTCCTCCTCCTCCTTCCTCCTCCTTCCTCCTTCCTCCTTCCTCCTTCCTCCTTCCTCCTTCCTCTTCCTCCCCCTTCCCCTCCCCCTCCTCCGGAGTGAGTTCCCAGATGGCCGAGTGCGACGCGGCAGCAGCGGCTTGCGCACGCCGGTGCGGCCTCCCCGCGGCCCCCGACAGTCGCGCGCACCAGAGGTCGCTCTTCCTCACAGGGTCGTTCTTACGTGTAGCCGACTGAGGGGCAAGATCCTGCACCGCCCCGCGCGATTGGCGTGCCAGCGCGATGTTTAGCGCGCCCCCCGTCCGCTACAGAGATAGGCTTGCCCCCCCCCCCCCAGCAACCCCAAACGGCGGAGTGAGGGGGAGGAGGGGTGGTTCCCCCCTCAGCGTCCTTCTCTTCTTCCTCCTGCTCCTCTTCATCCTCATGGTTCCTCCTCCCCCTCATGGGGGGCATCCTCTTCATCGTCATTCTCTTCCTTTCCCTGCTCCTCATCCTCCTCGTTCCTCCTCCTCCTTCTCCTCCTCCTCCTCCTCCACCTCTTCCTCCTCCTGCTCCTCCTCCTCCCTCTCCTCTGGCGCGCGCCTCTGTGCCCCAGATGAGCCGCTAGCCTGCTGCTGCAACAGCGACCTTATATTCAAGATTCATGCGAGTGTCACGCTGTTCTACTAGGAACAGGTGTTGCGTCGTCGTCGTCGTCGTCGCCCACCAGGCGCGCCCCCAGCACCCTTCACTGCGCCCCCCAGACCAAAACAACCAAACATACACGTTGGAATCCACTGCCCCTCTGTTCTGAAGCGCTTGTATAGGAAGGGGTACAGTGGACTGGGTGTTTACACAGCTTGGAGAAATTAGTGAATTCAGTATGCGTCGGGCTTGACGTGCCTCGAAGAAAGCTCGCGCACCCGAATCGCAAGCATATGGCTATATGCGGACCCAGGACAGTTTGCTTCCCGTCGTCGTCCTCGCCCTTGCTCCGTTCCCTTTCCTTTCTTCCCCCCTGTGTGGTGTCGAAAGCGTCCGCGGCCTGGGCGGTGGAGCGCCCATTTCCACCTCCCCCATTATTCCTCGTTCCTCTTTGCCTCCCTGCTCCACCGTCCGTCGTCCTACCTCGTCTTCCTTCCTTGCTCGAGAAGTGAGGTCCCTGGCGCCGCGCGCCCGCATCAGCCGTAGATCGCATTTTCGATATCCGAGCACAGCGGCGCAACCAAACAGAGAAGATTGCCAATGCGAGCGTTCGGGGCGCACTCCAAACGCGGGCGGCACGGCCGCCGTGCCACTGGCGCTGAAGAGTTTAGGGTGAGTGGGTTTTGGGGGGTTAGGGTGGGGGGGGTGGAAGGGGAGTGGTGGGGAGTGGGGAAAGGGGGAAGTGGGGGACGTGGATGGAGCGTAGGTGGTGTGATTGGGAGGGGGGGATGTCCGGACAAAGGGTATCGGTAGGATGTGGTAGGAGGTGGTGGCGTAGGTTTGGGTGAGGTATGTGGTTGGGATGGTGTGTTTTTGTTTAGGGCTCCTCAATTTTTTTTATTGTTAAGTTTTTTTTTTTTTAATTATCTTATATATTTCTTTTTTTTTATTTTAATATTTGCTGTGTTAACATGCGAATGTATAAGTGCGTGCGGCAAGGTCCGCCCCGTTGCCAGTGCAACGGTCTGTATGGCGACGCGTGGAACGTTGATTGTTTAGAGGTCCGTGACATGCGACACCTCTCGTATTCTCGGATTGCTGTGCGGCCTTTTTGGGGGTCCTTCGGGGCCTTTTGGGACGTCTTCGGGCCGTTGGGGGCCGCTTTGGTGCCGCGTCTCACCGCGGCCGCCCTGGGCCAGGGAACCGTGTATTTGCAGCTCCTTCGGGGGCGCCCTGGGCCGGGGAAGTGTGCATTTGCATCCCCCAAAACTGGGCATGTCGACTTCGGTTCTGGGTTGGCAAAGTCGGGGCACCCTCGAGGTGGCGAGCGTTTACCTTGAACCGAGAGCGCCAAACACTGTATATTTGTTATTCGATTCTGGGGTATGAGGAACAAGGGAACCCTGTGTATGTTTGGTTTTTGTTGGGGATGTTTTGGTCATAGGAGCAAAGGGACACTGTGCATGTTTGTTTTAATTTTTTTTGGGGGGGTCGCAAGCCCCAACGCTCGCCGGGACCCCCCGACGACTCCAGACCAACAAAAACAAAAACACAACGTTTCCTTGCACCGAGAGCGCCAAACACTGTTTCTTGGGGGTGGGTCTGAGGAGCAAGGAAACACTGTGCATGCTTGTTGTTGTGTTGTTTTGGAGGTTTTGACAGTGCCAGTGCTTGCTGGGAGAGAGGCCCCTGCGAGCATTTGGGCTTTCAAAACAAAAAACAACCAAACATTTACAGTGTTTCCTTGCTCCTCAGACCCAAAGGACCCAAACAACCAAACATACATAGTGTTTGGCGCTCCCGGAGCAAGGAAACACTGTGTCTGTTTGTTTTTTTCGGTTCTCTTTGGTTTTGCCAGCGCCAGTGCCTGCTGGGAGAAAGGCCCATGCGAGCATTGGGTTTTTAAAACAAAAACCAAAACAAACAAACAAACAAACATACACAGTGTTCCCTTGCTCGTCCCCCCCCAGAAAAATACATAAAACATTTTTTTCAAAACACACACACAGTGTTTGGCGCTCTCGGTTCAAGGAAGCACTGTGTATGTTTGTTTTTGCTGAAGTCGCAAAGAGGGAGGAGAGGGAAGAGGAGGAGCAAACGACCATTGGTTACGGTTATGTTTCTGGTTATGGTTTTGGTTCTTTTAGTTCTGGTTCTGGTTCTGGTTTCGGTTGTGCCGGCGTTGGTTTTGGTTGTGGTTCTGGTTTTGGTTCGTTTTGTGGTTTTGTTGGCTTTGGGGGTGATGGGGGGGGGTGACCAAACATATATACACAGGTTCCCCTCGATGGATTCTTCCCGGGCCTCAGCGAAAGGCGGCGGTGTACCAATCGCCACTGGGAGCCAGCGGTGTTATGCACTGGCACCCTCCCTGGAGGTATATGCGACGTTCGTCGGAGGGTGTCCGTGTAGGTATTTTCGTGGCGTGCCCCACAGATGTCGGAAACTGGAGCATCTACATCACCAGTGGCGGGCGGTTTTTCAATCCCAGGACTTTTTTGAGGGTCGGGGACGACGTCGGGGTGGTGTGGTGTATACTTGTTTCTTCGTTTTTTTTTGGGGGGGGAAACAACGAAGAATGTATACACCAGGATCCCGTATCGACCAGGATCCGCTTTCATCGGCGAGATTCGGTGCGAGGCCAGACAAAGGCGTCGGTGTATAGAGTTCGGCTAAAGATCCTCGTGGGGGAGCGCATCCTTCGGGAAGGCTCCTGGGCCGATCTCCCCAGGCGCGCCCCGTGCGGTCAGAGGGCAGCCCTCTCCTGAGAGCCCTGGCCTGGTCGCCCCTGGCACCTCGTGAGCCCGCGCGCCTGTCCCCCGAGTCAATCCAGGAGGGAGAAAAATACACAGACACAATGAATCGTGGACTCCCCCGAAAATATGGAAAAATATGGGAAGTGGGGTGGAGGACAAAAACCCAGAAAAGATCGGAAAGTATGGGGAATCCTGTTACTTGTGTCTGTATGTTTGTGTGTCCCAGGGCCCCTTCATACATTGGGGGCGCGGTGGGTGCTCACAGAAGTCGGCACCAAAAACGTCACGGGGCCGGTGCGTCGCAACCGGCGTTAAGGTTGTGAGCTCAGTCTTGCGCCCGGTCCGGCGTTAAAGATGTCAAAGCAGTTTTGGCTGAAGAGATCGCGCATATGGAGTGCGCGTGCCGTGCGATGCAACACAGCAAACTCTAGACGCTTCGCGTATCCCAACCAGTCCATCCAGAAACGATGTCCAGGCGAGTTGAGGTGATCAGAGAAGTGCGGGAGCAAAGAGGGGGACGGCCGAACCGTGCGAAGGAGGAAGGAGGAGAAGGAGGAGGCTGGATGGATGGATGATGGAGTGGGGAGAAGGAGGATGAATAGGAGGAGGAGGAGGAGGAGGAGGAGGAGGAGGAGGAGGAGGAGGAGGAG